TTTTAGTCAGTTCTCCTCCCCCCTGCACCTCCGAATAGCACGGTTGGCTACGTACGGTGCGAAAGAAGTTCAACACGCGTTGAACTTCCAATGTCCCATCTTAGGCTCCACCATCCGTGGAACAGAGTCGGCGTCAGAGTCACGGGCACCACGGAGGAGAAGGGGGCTTCATCATCATCGTCGTCGTCGTCGTCATCTCAGCGACGATTCACGGGTGGCCGGTGAAGTTGGCACAACAGACAACAATCCACGGGTTTGTCATCTCTTTCATTCAGATATGTATAGAGCTGTGAAGCAGTAGCTTTTAACTGGCAGCACAGTACTCAGAAGTGCTAATACAGTCGCCTTTCACTTGTGCATCCAACTTTCACCTAAGACCCACGAATTCGCTCCCCTCCCGTGGACACACCACCCATGCCGCTCACGACATCGACATCACTCCGCACAGAGGTGAAGACTTTGTGTACGACGGATATGCTGTGTATCGCGTCCCCCTTTGCACACCACGGCGCCCACAAACGAGAGCGGATCACCCTCACCTGCAACATGAGACCGTTTTTGCCAGAATCAAAGTTTGAAAAAATAAGAAAAGCTTTTACCCTTTCTGGCAATACAATAGGAGTTGTGAGAAGAGGGTTTCCCCTTTTTTCTGGCAACAAAACAGCTGTGTTGAGATGTTAAAACACCAAACTGAAACCTTTTACAAGGAATCATGTCATGCGTTAACCACAATACTTGTAGTCAGAATGCAATAAAAAAACACTCTGGTAATATATGTGGCATTGTCTTTGAGACTGGTTGGTCCACACCAGAGACAGCTTTCTTTGGAGCCTAGTCTGGCCACACACCGTTTTGAGACGAAGCTCAAAGCTAGCGAGTGAGTAAGTGAGCGAGCGAGTGAGTAAGTAAGTGAGCGAGTGAGTGAGTGAGCGAGTGAGTGAGTGAGCGAGCGAGTGAGCGAGTGAGCGAGCGAGTAAGTGAGTAAGTGAGTGAGTGAGCGAGTGAGTGAGCGAGTAAGTAAGTGAGCGAGTGAGTGAGCGAGTGAGTGAGCGAGTGAGCGAGTAAGTGAGTAAGTGAGTGAGTGAGCGAGTGAGCGAGTGAGTGAGTGAGCGAGTGAGTGAGTGAGCGAGTGAGTGAGTAAGTAAGCGAGTGAGTAAGTGAATGAGCGAGTGAGTGAGCGAGTGAGTGAGTAAGTGAGTGAGCGAGTAAGTGAGTGAGTGAGCGAGTAAGTGAGTGAGTGAGCGAGTGAGTGAGCGAGTGAGTGAGTGAGTGAGCGAGTAAGTGAGTGAGTGAGCGAGTGAGTGAGTGAGTGAGCGAGTGAGTGAGCGAGTAAGTAAGTGAGTAAGTAAGTGAGTGAGCGAGTGAGTGAACGAGTGAGTGAGCGAGTGAGCGAGTGAGTGAGCGAGCGAGTGAGTGATTAAGTGAGTGAGTAAGTGAGTGAGTAAGTGAGTGAGTGAGCGAGTAAGTAAGTGAGTGAGTAAGTGAGTAAGTAAGTGAGTAAGTAATTGAGTAAGTAAGTGAGTAAGTGAGTGAGTAAGTGAGTAAGTAAGTGAGTAAGTAAGTGAGTAAGTGAGTGAGCGAGTGAGTGAGCGAGAGAGGAGCGGTGTTGTCACCCCGCGCCCCCCGTATTTGCCGAGTCCACACAGCAAGTCCCGAGCCCTCCACTCGTTACCGCTCTTCATTACTAGAGGAGTGGCGACATCCCAGTCAAGCGGCGCCGTTCGTTCTCAACGCACGGTGAGCGGTGGCGAGGAGATGTTAACTCCCTCGCGAGGTATACAGGAGGTCGCGGGTTCGATCCCGACCCTTGACGTAGGGCTGAACGATTAATCGAATTCAAATCGAGATCGCAATTTGAAACAATGTGATTAGCAAATCGCAAAGGATGCGATTTTTGCGATTTGAAAAGTCCGATTACTTTCTTAGTGGAATTTACATTTTTATTATTATAACTTTAATTGTTAAACTTAATTGTTATATGTTTGATTGTTCTATTTCAATTAAAAAATAAATACATGTTGGAAGCAATTTATATCTTTTACGTTCTCATCCTTGCATTAGAATATATAGAGCAGTTCATATTTTGATGGTATCACGTGGTAATGTTTCATCACGTGTTTAAAATCTATTACACAGTGAATATTGAACTGAGGTTTGACTTAAAACATTTGATCGCAAATCGCAATATCTGTCAGAAACATCGCAATGAGATATTGTCCCCAAATCGTTCAGCCCTAGCCTGACGCCTGCTGTATGTTTGGAGTTTACAAACCTCTCTCTGTCATCATCACAGTGGCTACCTCGCCTGGTATACAGGAGGTCGTGGGTTTACATATCTCTCTCTCTCTCTCATCATCACAGTAGCTACCTCGCCTGGTATACAGGAGGTCGTGGGTTTACATATCTCTCTCTCATCATCACAGTGGCTACCTCGCCTGGTATACAGGAGGTCGTGGGTTTACATATCTCTCTCATCATCACAGTAGCTACCTCGCCTGGTATACAGGAGGTCGTGGGTTTACATCTCTCTCTCTCTCGCCAGGTATACAGGAGGTCGTGGGTTTACATATCTCTCTCTCTCATCACAGTGGTTATCTCGCCTGGTTTACAGGAGGTCGTGGGTTTACATATCTCTCTCTCTCATCATCACAGTGGCTAGAAGATGTTCACGACCTCGCCAGGGATACAGGAGGTCGTGGGTTTACATGTCTCTCTCTCGCTCTCTCTCATCACAGTGGCTAGAAGATGTTCACGACCTCGCCTGGTATACAGGAGGTCGTGAGTTTACATATCTCTCTCTCTCTCTCATCATCACAGTGGCTAGAAGATGTTCACGACCTCGCCAGGTATACAGGAGGTCGTGGGTTTACATGTCTCTCTCTCTCTCATCATTACAGTGGCTACCTCGCCTGGTACACAGGAGGTCGTGAATTTACATGTCTCTCTCTCATCATCACAGTGGCTAGAAGATGTTCACGACCTCGCCTGGTATACAGGAGGTCGTGGGTTTACATGTCTCTCTCTCTCTCATCATCACAGTGGATAGAAGATGTTCACGACCTCGCCTGTTCTACAGGAGGTCGTGGGTTCGATCCTGACTCTTGACGATGCCTGCTGCTGTATATTTGGAGTCTGCGTGTCTCTATCCGAGTCCTCCGGTTTTCCCCTCCACCTTTAGAATCAGCATCACGCGTTTAAAGTGTTTCACCAAAGATATAAATGCCCAAACGACGAGGATGATCGTGATGATGTCAGCCATTCGTGATAGCCAGGTCGCTTCTTGCAAGAAGAAGAAACACAACAACAAGAAGAAACACAACAACAAGAAGAAACACAACAAGAAGAAGAAACACAACAAGAAGAAACACAACAACAACAAGAAACACAACAAGAAGAAGAAACACAGGAAGAAGAAACACAAGAAGAAGAAATACAACAAGAAGAAGAAACACAAGAAGAAGAAACACAACAACAAGAAGAAACACAACAAGAAAAAACACAACAAGAAGAAGAAACACAAGAAGAAGAAGAAGAAATACAACAAGAAGAAGAAACACAAGAAGAAGAAACACAACAACAACAAGAAACACAACAAGAAACACAAGAAGAAGAAGAAACACAACAACAAGAAGAAACACAACAACAAGGAGAAACACAACAACAAGAAGAAACACAACAACAAGAAACACAACAACAAGAAACACAACAACAAGAAGAAACACAACAACAAGAAGAAACACAACAACAAGAAGAAACACAACAAGAAGAAGAAACACAACAACAAGAATAAACACAAGAATAATAAAACACAACAACAAGAAGAAACACAACAACAAGAAGAAACACAACAACAAGAAGAAACACAACAAGAAGAAGAAACACAACAAGAAGAAACACAACAAGAAGAAACACAACAACAACAACAAGAAACACAACAAGAAGAAGAAACACAGGAAGAAGAAACACAAGAAGAAGAAATACAACAAGAAGAAGAAACACAAGAAGAAGAAGAAACATAAGGAGAAGAAGAAACACAACAACAAGAAGAAACACAACAAGAAGAAACACAACAAGAAGAAACACAACAACAAGAAGAAACACAACAAGAAGAAACACAAGAAGAAGAAACAACAAGAAGAAGAAACACAACAACAAGAAGAAACACAACAACAAGAAACACAACAACAACAAGAAACACAAGACGAAGAAGAAACACAACAACAAGAAGAAACACAACAACAAGAAGAAACACAACAACAAGAAGAAACACAACAACAAGAAGAAACACAACAAGAAGAAACACAACAACAAGAAGAAACACAACAACAAGAAGAAACACAACAAGAAGAAACACAACAAGAAGAAGAAACACAACAAGAAGAAACACAACAACAAGAAACACAACAACAACAAGAAACACAAGAAGAAGAAACACAACAACAAGAAACACAACAACAAGAAGAAACACAAGAAGAAGAAGAAACACAACAACAAGAAACACAACAACAAGAAGAAACACAAGAAGAAGAAGAAACACAACAACAAGAAACACAACAACAAGAAGAAACACAACAAGAAGAAGAAACACAACAAGAAGAAACACAACAACAAGAAGAAACACAACAACAAGAAGAAACACAACAACAAGAAACACAACAACAAGAAACACAACAACAAGAAGAAACACAAGAAGAAGAAACACAACAACAAGAAACACAACAAGAAGAAACACAACAAGAAGAAGAAACACAACAACAAGACACACACCAACAAGAAGAAACACAAGAAGAAGAAACACAACAAGAAGAAACACAACAACAAGAAGAGATGTTCTAGAGCAGTTCGGTAGGGCCTGAGCCTGGCAAGAGTCGACGCCACTGACGCCGCTGTCTCTCCCCACAGGTGACCACCACCACCACTCACCTGTGCCAGCTCCCCACAGGTGACCACCACCACTCACCTGTGCCAGCTCCCCACAGGTGACCACCACCACCACTCACCTGAGTCAGCTCTTCGTCCAGGGCCGGGTGCGAGTCGCGGGCCCGGAAGCAGTCTTGGCACTTGCTCTTGTTGAAGATGTTCGCTCGGAACTTGAGGCACGAGGCGAGGTCCTTGCCCGCGAGCATGGCGGCAGCAAACAGCGAGAGAAGTGCTCCAGCGGGACAGGGAGATGGTGGTGGTGATGGTGGTGGTGAGGTGGTGGGTGAAGAGATGGTGGTGATGGTGGTGAGGTGGTGGTGGTGATGGTGGTGGTGAGGTGGTGGTGGTGAGGTGGTGGTGGTGGTGAGGTGGTGGTGGTGAGGTGGTGAGGTGGTGATGGTGGTGGTGGGTGAAGAGGTGGTAGTGGTGATGGTGGTGGTGAGGTGTGATGGTGGTGGTGAGGTGGTGGTGGTGAGGTGGTGGTGGTGGGGTGGTGGTGGTGAGGTGGTGGTGGTGAGGTGGTGGTGGTGATGGTGGTGGTGAGGTGGTGGTGGTGAGGTGGTGGTGGTGAGGTGGTGCTGGTGGTGGTGATGGTGGTGGTGAGGTGATGGTGGTGGTGGTGATGGTGGTGGTGAGGTGGTGGTGGTGAGGTGGTGGTGATGGTGGTGGTGGGTGAAGAGGTGGTAGTGGTGATGGTGGTGGTGAGGTGGTGGTGGTGAGGTGGTGGTGATGGTGGTGGTGAGATGGTAGTGGTGATGGTGAGGTGGTGGTGGTGATGGTGGTGGTGAGGTGGTGGTGGTGAGGTGGTGGTGGTGATGGTGGTGGTGAGGTGGTGGTGGTGAGGTGGTGGTGATGGTGGTGGTGAGATGGTAGTGGTGATGGTGGTGGTGAGGTGGTGGTGATGGTGGTGGTGAGGTGGTGGTGAGGTGGTGGTGATGGTGGTGGTGAGGTGGTGGTGGTGAGGTGGTGGTGGTGGTGAGGTGGTGGTGGTGAGGTGGTGGTGGTGAGGTGGTGGTGATGGTGGTGGTGGTGGTGATGGTGGTGGTGAGGTGGTGGTGGTGGTGAGGTGGTGGTGGCGAGGTGGTGGTGATGGTGGTGGTGGGTGAAGAGGTGGTAGTGGTGATGGTGGTGGTGAGATGGTAGTGGTGATGGTGGTGGTGAGGTGGTGGTGGTGAGGTGGTGGTGGTGAGGTGGTGGTGATGGTGAGGTGGTGGTGAGGTGGTGGTGATGGTGGTGGTGAGATGGTAGTGGTGATGGTGGTGGTGAGGTGGTGGTGGTGGTGGTGGTGAGGTGGTGGTGGTGAGGTGGTGGTGATGGTGGTGGTGGTGATGGTGGCACGCACTCCGCGTTTGTGTTTTGCCGCTGCAACGAACGAGTTCGAGACGCGCGCTACGGTCCCCCTGCACTCCCCTTCACCCGTCTGCCCGTCTCTCAATCGTCACAACGTTGACATAGTGCTGCTTGTCACTGGCCGCTTGCACGCTCCCGCCGTAGTCACGACCCCCGCCTCCAGCCCCTCATCCTGGCGTCCCCGCAGCGAGGAGCAGCAACAGTCACGAAGCAGGGACAGCAGTAGTCACGTAGCAGGGACAGTAGTCACGTAGCAGGGACAGCAGCAGCAGTCACGTAGCAGGGACAGCAGTCACGTAGCAGGGACAGCAGCAGCAGTCACGTAGCAGGGACAGCAGCAGTCACGTAGCAGGGACAGTAGTCACGTAGCAGGGACAGCAGCAGCAGTCACGTAGCAGGGACAGCAGCAGTCACGTAGCAGGGACAGCAGTAGTCACGTAGCAGGGACAGCAGTCACGAAGCAGGGACAGCAGTAGTCACGTAGCAGGGACAGCAGCAGCAGTCACGTAGCAGGGACAGCAGTAGTCACGTAGCAGGGACAGCAGTCACGAAGCAGGGACAGCAGCAGTCACGTAGCAGGGACAGCAGCAGTAGTCACGTAGCAGGGACAGCAGCAGCAGTCACGTAGCAGGGACAGCAGCAGCAGTCACGTAGCAGGGACAGCAGCAGCAGTCACGTAGCAGGGACAGCAGCAGCAGTCACGTAGCAGGGACAGCAGTCACGTAGCAGGGACAGCAGCAGCAGTCACGTAGCAGGGACAGCAGTAGTCACGTAGCAGGGACAGCAGTCACGAAGCAGGGACAGCAGTAGTTACGTAGCAGGGACAGCAGCAGCAGTCACGTAGCAGGGACAGCAGTAGTCACGTAGCAGGGACAGCAGTCACGAAGCAGGGACAGCAGCAGTCACGTAGCAGGGACAGCAGCAGAAGTCACGTAGCAGGGACAGCAGCAGCAGTCACGTAGCAGGGACAGCAGCAGCAGTCACGTAGCAGGGACAGCAGCAGCAGTCACGTAGCAGGGACAGCAGCAGCAGTCACGTAGCAGGGACAGCAGTCACGTAGCAGGGACAGCAGCAGCAGTCACGTAGCAGGGACAGCAGTCACGTAGCAGGGACAGCAGCAGTAGTCACGTAGCAGGGACAGCAGCAGTCACGTAGCAGGGACAGCAGCAGCAGTCACGTAGCAGGGACAGCAGCAGTAGTCACGTAGCAGGGACAGCAGCAGCAGTCACGTAGCAGGGACAGCAGTCACGTAGCAGGGACAGCAGCAGCAGTCACGTAGCAGGGACAGCAGCAGCAGTCACGTAGCAGGGACAGCAGTCACGTAGCAGGGACAGCGACTTAACGCGCGCGTCACGCCACGTGCACTGCGGCAGCAGCATCACATCACATCCCTCTCTCTCTCCCAGAGCTTCTCGTCTCCGTCTCTCTCCGTCTGCCTCCCTCTGTGGCTGTGTCTTAAAGGCGAGGACGACACTTGGGTGCGAGCGAGCGAGTGTGAGAGTGTGTGAGTGTGAGAGTGTGTGAGTGTGAGAGTGTGTGAGAGTGAGTGTGTGTGTGTGCGTAAGAGCCCCGAATAGGAACGGCGGACTGCGGTAACAGGATCCGTGGCGCGCTCGCCGGCAGGCCGGTGGTTGCTGCTCGCCGCGTCACTGCAGTGCACACAGACACAGATCCCCCGTGTAGCCTTCACAGACTGTAGGGGCAAGTGCTGTTAGCGAGCACCTATGAAGGCCGGAACGGTACACGAGGGGGTGGCTGGCCAGCACCACGCCCGACCGCCTTTGTCTCCCTAGTGGCGATGTTTACTACACACCGCACCAGGTACTCATTTGAGGCTGAGTCGACCTAGGGGATGCCCGGGACCGGTTCAGATAATCGTCACTGGTGTTGGCCGTGAGCGGGAATCGAACCCGGGTCTCCAGGTTCATAGCGCAGCGTAGCGCTAACCGCTACACTATACACACACAGAGACACAGATCCCCCGTATAGCCTCTAACAGACTGTAGGGGCAAGTGCTGTTAGCCAGCAGCGATGGAAGGCCGGCACGGCACACGAGGGGGGGTGGCCAGCAACATACCACACACCAGACAGACACACACAGACAGGCACACACAGACACACACAGACAGGCACACACACACACAGACACAGACACACACAGACAGGCACACACACACAGACAGGTACACACCAGACAGACACAGACACACACAGACAGGCACAAACACACAGACACAGACACACACAGACAGGCACACACACACAGACAGGCACACACCAGACAGACACAGACACACACAGGCACACACGGAGAGACACACACACACGGAGAGACACACACACACAGACAGGCACACACGGATAGACACACACAGACGCCCCCAGCGGCAAGCAGTCAGCAGGCGGGCAGCAACACTCAGCACTCCGTCTCCCTCCTTCGCGATCGCAGTCCCTCTCCAGCCGAGTGGCGATGTCCAGACGCTGCCAGCGGAGTCTCTGCCACCACCCGGACGCAAGGAAGCCCCTGGGGCCGGCGGCAGCGATAATGGAGCGGTGGCGCAGCGGTTAGCGCGCCGCGCTACGAACCCGGCCACCCGAGTTCGATTCCCGCTCACGGCTATCGACACCAGTGACGATTTTCGAACCGGTCCTGGGCCGACCCCTAGGTCGACTCAGCCTCAAAACTGGTACCTGGTGGCGATGTTTACGATGTGTAAACATCGCCACTCGGGAGACAAAGGCAGCCGGGCGTGGTGCTGGAAAACCCACCACCTCGTGCGCCGTGCCGTGCGTTCAAAAGGTGCTGCTTGCGAACAGCACTTACCCCAAAAGTCTGTTGAGGCTATACGGGGGATCTTTGTCTTTGGTGTGGCCAATATCGGGGTCCCGTGGATCCCGAGCGCCCTCTGTAGCCCTGGCGAGCTGTCCGCGCTGCAGAGCAGCTGCTGCTTGCTGCTGCTCGTGGGAGGCAGAATCAGTAATTACACTACAGGAGGAATCCGATGAGCTATGAAGCTCTTTTTCACAAATGCCCAAGTAGGGGCACGGGGTCTGGACGTTACAACAACAAACAGTACAAAAAAACGATACTTGTGCAATTCTAGGAAAGGTAGCAATTCACTAAAAACATACACGTAGAGACTAACCTTTTGATTTTTTAAAACAGGTAAAGCCCATTGAGCTATGCATGGGCTACGTGGCCCAACTACCTGTCACAGGCACAGCAGCAGTGAGAGATGGAAGGGCTACACAAGCACACATGTCAAATCATCATCAACATCATCAACATAATTCCATAAAACAGTCCTCATTTGTGGGAATTCGAGAACACTACTGTGGTTACGATTGACCATTTCACGTCATAGTAATGTGGAATTTCCAACGTTGGCAGAGGACCACCAGATATGAATCTCCATCCTTTGCAGGACGGTTCTCATTACGCTCAGTGTGGGTACGCACAAAGACACAGATTCCCCCTTATCGGCTTTACAAACGCTGTTAGCGAGTGTCCACACCTATGAAGGCCGGCACGGCACAGTGGGTGACCAGGGGCCGCCAGTCGCCCGCGGGCCCTGCAATGAAGAACGATGACGTAAGGCGATGCACACATCTGGCTCTGTCCCGCGGGCTGCATGGGCCAAGAGAGGCAGAGAGAGAGAGAGGGGATCACCATCACCATCATCACATGGCCCAAGAGAGGCCAAGAGAGAGAGAGAGAGCATCACCATCATCACATGGCCCAAGAGAGGCCAAGAGAGAGAGAGGGCATCACCATCATCACATGGGCCAAGAGAGAGAGAGGGCATCACCATCATCACATGGGCCAAGAGAGGCCAAGAGAGAGAGAGGGCATCACCATCATCACATGGGCCGAGAGAGGCCAAGAGAGAGATAGAGGGCATCACCATCATCATCATCACATGGGCCAAGAGAGGCCAAGAGAGAGAGAGAGAGGGCATCACCATCATCACATGGGCCAAGAGAGGCCAAGAGAGAGAGAGAGA